TAAAGGAAAGATGAAGAAATGAGCATGGTGATCCAATGTTGTCCAGAACTCCCCTATTAGACGCACCTTGCAAGGATTAGGAGAGCAAAGTCCAAAAAGAGAGGGATAAAGTCATGGCGGCCCAATGACAACTGACACCGCTGCAAAAATTTCTCTCCAAACTCTTCAAATTTTCGTTTCCTACAAGGATAAAGAAAGAAATCCGCATAATAAATGGAAAGAAACCATGACGGTCAACACTGCCAGGTTACCAATGATATTTTCCCTTGTCCTAATAGACAATGGAAGCCCGAGACTCTATTTCCTACAAGAAAGAAGATGGCGGTTGGCAACGCCACTAGGTCACCACACTTCTATAAAAGGAAGGCATCCCCTTCTATTTTCCCTCACTCCACTCATGAGATTCAAAGCAAAATTCGGTGATATAACTCATTGGGACCCTTTTCCAAGAAGATTTTGTGAAGACCCATCCTTATGAGATGATAGGGGACAAAGGAGGAGTACAATAAGGTTTTATAAGATCCAACCTCTTGAGGTGGTGGAGACCAAAGAAGAAGCACCCAATCAAAGAGGGAAGAGGAAGACTGCTACCCTAATAATAACAACAAACTAGGAAAGTGTGATGGCTAAGGAGCACATAAACAAACTAAAGCAACAAGTTTAAACAAGGGACAACTAAGCAACCCATGACTATAAGAAATGAAATGTTCTTGGTTTGGGTTTCAAATAGTGAGGGAATGGGGAATGTATAATTAAGTGACCATTTTTTTGGTTGAGGGCCTAGTAGCAGTGAGTAAAGGAGTCTAGTTGGGAGGGGGGAAAAAATACACACTACCTTATATTTTGATATTCCTAGGTATTTTGGTATATACTAATCCTAATCTCATAATTTCTAAAACCAAATAACAATTGAAATTCAATTACAATCCCAATCCTAATAAAATAATATGTGTATTTGGTAATACCAAATAACAACAAATATATATGTTAGTTGTTTGGATGCATTATTTTGGTTATGTAGTATTTCGAATCAATATGATGCATTATTTTGCTATGTGACATTTCAGATTGGAATGTGATAATTTGGTCACTTCCCTTGTTTGGATAAAACACTCAAATATTATGTTATTTCACTACTTAGAGAAGGGATGAAGTGAAAAAAGAGGTTAGGAGATGAGTTATTTAAAATAACTAGAGGGTGGGTAGGTATTTCAAATAACTCACAATGAGTTATTTCAATTGCCTCATGGATAAAATATCACATTCTATTTTATTTTGCCACATGAGTCATTTCGACTAATCTATATCAACTAAAATACCTCATCGAATTACTTCATCCAAACAAGCCGATGATTTTCTAATATTTCCCGAGCCCTACTATCACAAGCTTGATTCTAATGGTATAGCTCCACATAGTGAAATTTTTTTAACGACATTCCGAAGTCATTTGGATGAGTTAATTGTCAATGTGGTATTTGTAAAGTCAAATAACTCATTTATTGTTCATGTGGTATTTCAGTGTTATTTCAATGGTAATTGCTGTTTAAATAATTTAGGCAAAAGACACTTGAGTAGCCAAAACTTTCACGGTTGTGCCAATAAGAGCCAAATTTGGCGAAATACCACTTATAACCAATTCCGTCCCATACTTTAACGGTGTTAACTAACAGGCTGACTGGACTAAAGAAAATGCTGACTTGGCGTAACAACACTGCCACTTAGATTAATAAAAAATTAATGAAAAAAATTAAAAAAGAAAATAATTAATGTAAAACCATTTAAAAAAATTAAAAAAAATTAATAAGATAAAAATTAAAAAAGCCTAGCAAGTAGCAGCCCTCCTTCCCCCCACCACCATCCCTCCTTCCTCCAGTCACCGCCACCCTCCCACCGCCATCCCTCCTCCTTCCCGGCGACTCACATCTCAGCAACCTTCCATCTACCATCTCTCCCCCCAAAAAATTTACCAGATCAAAGAAATCTCTTCCTCTTCTTTACTTCGATTCCCATATTAAATTCCACCAACCCATTCTCGTTTGTAATCGCATCCCCTTTCCCATTTTTCTACCAAGAATACCAAAACCCAGTTTCTCAGATCTTGAACCGCATACACCATTAACTCGGCGACCAACAGCCTGTCGCGGCCCTCTCCTCACCATGCACCGCAGCTCCGCGTCATCATCGACGAGAACCGGTAGATCCAGTCGCTCAGCGAGCTCCAGCCGTCGGATCTGAAATTACCTTGACAAGGAGGGATCTAGTTCATATCGATCTTCTCCTTTAGAAATCCACAGCCTCAGGGCACTTGAGCCCATCATCTTCTTCTGGCGACAAGCTCTCGCCAGCCCTCCTTCCTCACCACCGCCATCCCTCCTCCCTCCTGTCACCAGTCCCTCCCCACCCCATCTTCCATCACTGGCAACTCAAATCCCAGCAACCTTTCATCTCCCATCTTTCCCCTACACAAAAGAAACCCCTTCCCATTGATTTGTTCGTTTACTTAGAAATCCCCCAAAACCTTCTGCCTTGCCGCATCATCAATGTAAGAATTGAGACCGTCGCAGACCTCCAGTCGCCGCTACCCCGTATCGGATCTGCGTCAAAATTGGGGCTTTTTCAATTTTTGCTTTCCTGCTTGATTGAATGTCGGATTTGAAATTGGAGGGTTTCTATGTTGTATGAAGTGGGCTGAATTGGTCGTTGGAGGTGGCGATGTTGCGGCCGTATCAGTGGTGGGGATGGGGAGTTCGAGAGCGAGGATAGGAGAGGAGGCGGGAGAGAATGAGGTTGCGGAGAGCGGCAGCGACATCGACGATAGAGAAGGACAGATCATGGACTGTTTGAAGAAGGTACTTAGAGGGGAAGAAGTTTGACGGGATTTGTGGAGTTCATCTCCATCAACGAACACAAAGCAAGAAGAGTTCTGAGTTTTTGGGAAGAAGGTAGCTGTAAATCAAGTTGGATTTGGGTTCTGGAAGGAGAGGCACCGTTGAGGAAAGAATACAAGGGTGGCTGAATTTCCCCTTTTTCAACTGAGAAGTCGATTAAGAGAAGTCGATGTCGGGAACTATCACCGGTAGAGGTTCAGGAAGAGGAGAAGACGAAAGGGACGATGGCGTAGGAGGTGCATTTGTTTTAGTTTTTTTTTATTAATTTATGATGTGTAATTATTAAATAAATTTAAATTATGACGTGTCACTTCAAGTATAGTTGGCGCTGACATGTGCGCAGAGTTGGAGCCTAGTCAGCAAATTGTCAAAAAAGTTGACGGTGTTACTAACACCGTTAAAGTATCTAACAGAAATGGCTAGATTTGTGGAAAAAATTCAGAAGTACCACTGTTTAGAAAAAAATTTCCAAAAATACCACCCAACCCAAAAAAATTCCAAAAATACCACCCTTTTTCAAAAACCGCCACCCCACCCAGCGGTTTGGTCGAAAACCGCTTGTCGGGGGCGCGGTTTTGGACCAAACCGCGGGCCTAGGGGGCGGTTATAAAAAAAAAAAAAAATTGGACCAAAACCGCTGGGTGGGGTGGCGGTTTGGCCCAAAACCGCCACCCCAACCAGCGGTTTGGTCCAAAAGTTCGGTCGAAACTTCAAACGAACGTAACTTTGCACTCGGGTATCCGATCGTAGCGATTCTTTTTTTCATTTCGCATAACTTTTCAAGATCTACAACTTTTACTAGGATGAAATTTTCAAAACAGGAACTATTTGTGGATATACGGGACCTTGAGAATAACTTTACCTTTACTTTTCAGAAATACATGTACATTTTGAAATTATGATTATATTAAAAGTTGTAGATCTTGAAAAGTTATGCGGAATAAAAAAAAAGTTCATAACATTCGGAGTTTGGAGCACAAAGTTATGGCCGCCCAAAGTTTGACGAAAGGCGAGACCCGGCGGTTTGCGGCTTGCAAGATCTCAAAAAGTTTGCGGCCTCCATTTTTTGAATCCGAATCACTTTTTGAGATCTTGCAAGTCTCAAACAGTCGCGTTCCGTCTTCGTCTCGAAAAAACGTCATTTGCCACCCCAAACGGCATTTTTTTTTATTTCGTCAAACTTTGGGCGGCCATAACTTTGTGCTCCAAAATCCGAATGTCATGAACTTTTTTTTTATTCGGCATAACTTTTCAAGATCTACAACTTTTAATATAATCATAATTTCAAAATGCACATGGATTTGTGAAAAGTAAAGGTAAAGTTATTCTCAAGGTCCCGTATATCCACAAATAGTTCCTGTTTTGAAAATTTCATCCTAGTAAAAGTTGTAGATCTTGAAAAGTTATGCGAAATGAAAAAAAGAATCGCTACGATCGGATACCCGAGTGCAAAGTTACGTTCGTTTGAAGTTTCGACCGAATTTTTGGACCAAACCGCTGGTTGGGGTGGCGGTTTTGGGCCAAACCGCCACCCCACCCAGCGGTTTTGGTCCAAAATTTTTTTTTTTTATAACCGCCCCCTAGGCCCGCGGTTTGGTCCAAAACCGCGCCCCCGACAAGCGGTTTTCGACCAAACCGCTGGGTGGGGTGGCGGTTTTTGAAAAAGGGTGGTATTTTTGGAATTTTTTGGGATTGAGTGGTATTTTTGGAATTTTTTTTTTAAACAGTGGTACTTTTGGATTTTTCCCTAGATTTGTCATACAACAACTTTAAAAGCTGGCTATAAGTGGTATTTCTTCAAATTTGGCTATTATTGGCACAAACGCGAAAGTTTTGACTACACAAGTGTATTTTGCCCATAACTTATTTCAATAAAACACCTGCAAAACAAGTTCCGAATAACTTATACAAATACTCTATCCAAACTCCATGTTAATGTTTTACCCTTTTCTATTAGAAGCCACCAAAACGGGGAAAACGATGCCGCATAAAGTGCAAAGCTGCTGCCTCGCTCTCTCTGTCTTTTCCAGTCTTCTCTTCCCTAAGTCTCTGCAATGGGGAAAAAGAAAAACAGACCCAAAGCAGCATAAAAAGCGGCCTCTGGCAGAAAGACAAGAAAGAAAGAAATAAAAAACCTACTACAGTCTACAGCTACAGCTACAGCGGCAGCAGTTGAGCTGAGAGAGAAGTGTGAGAGAAACCCAGAAACCAAGAATGGAAAAGTAACAACACGTTCACTTACTCTCATCTCTTCTCCTCTGCTTTCACATTTGCCCTTCCTCTCGGAGCTTCATTCTTCCGCCTCTCCCTACTACAAAAGGTTTCTCCTCTTGCTCTTGTTCTTTTTCTGCTGTTCTGCTTTGATCTCTCTGTTTGGGGCGCCACAAATCAAACCCGTTCTGTGTTACAATGTCTCAAACTCAACCCCCTTCCGTTTTTCTTATATAATTCCTGGAATTTTGATCGCTGCAATTCCTCAAAGTCTTCACCGTGCTTACGCCTAAGTCTTCAATTGTCATTTTTTTACATCGTGTGTTTTGTGTTTAGCTGGGTCTTCTTTTTGGCAGGTTGTTGGTGTGTTTTTTTCCCGAAGGTTGAGAATTTAGGGAAAGAATGTTGGAGGGTTAAGAGATTTTCCCGAATGAGGTAACAGATCAGTGCACACTAGCTCAGAAAATGCATAAAAACTTCAATGCTCGCGCCTTGCCTCGTTTGTTTGGCTACTGAGTTACCATTGTGTGTTCATGGGTTTATAAGATTGAAAAGTTTCTGTGTCTGATGTTGGGGCTGTGTATGGTGATGAAAGAAATTTACCAAGCTTCTTCTCTCTTTTCAGCCTTTGTGTTTTTTGTTTGTATTCCTCTAATTTCTTTGAAGGTTTTGCCCACTACATATGGGCATTAAAACAAAAATGAAGGGCTTAAAGAGTTCTAGTGCTTTTATTATCATGGGGTAAACTGTGGGAAATTGTTGTTGATATTACATTCATGGTCTGGGCTGGCAATGCTGCCTGTAGTTCCCAGTCAGCATGGCTATTCACTGTTCCGCTTAGTCTGGAAATTAATGGCTTGCGTGTGAATAAAGTGCTTTTATTACGACTGGCGCAGGATTTCTCACTGAAATTGGAACTGGGAGTGTTTTGATCTAAATCCCAGTCGTCTTTGTATTGATTATCCTGAGGACTAGCGAAACTGTGCTGGTACTGAGGCTGCTCCAACACAAGAGCAGTAGTGCATCATGTAAGAAATTGTGGCCTAACAATGTTATTTATTGGGGATATGATCTCTCCTTTGTTTATCATGTGGTGCAATAACTGCATTCTTCATTCGGTCTTACTTCCACCTCCGGACTGATTTTTTAGATGGTTTGGTTGAGTTTTGCAGCTATTTCATTACTGAATTCTTATTCAAGATATTAGCTCCAAGATGAACGAGAACAGGCAAACCGACTTGCATTATGCCAATACTGGCTTTCCTTACACCGCCACAGAAAGCTTTATGGATTTCTTCCAAGTGCCAGTCAATTACGCACATACTGGACCACTTCATGATCACGTAGGTTGCTTTTCTGTAGTATGGTTTGAGACGACGCTTGATTTTCAGCGGTCTTGCTCCTGAAGTGATGATCTGTTGCAGTTTTCTGAGCTTTTATCTTCTTCGATTACGTGTAGGACAATTCATACTGGTCGATGAATATGAATGCCTATAAATATGGATTTTCTTCTGGACCAGAGAGCACTTCTTATTACGACCATTATGAGGTGAATGATAATTTACCAGCAGTGGATGTTACCAGGAGAGCTTGGGAGTACCCTTCTGTGGCAAATGCCCAAGAGCCCACAACAGAAGTGCATTCTCAAGAAGAAACAACGGTCACAGATGTGCACACTATACCTGAAGAGTGTGAGTCCAATGTGTCCTATCTCCTGTCTGAATTCTACATTCTGTCCCGATTTAATGGACTTAGAAGCACCGACTTTGATGGCATAAGGATGTGGGTCTTGTGATTACCAGTGGGTGAAAAGAGGCTGAACATCCTTTTGAAATAGCTTTATTGCTGTCTGAAACTCACTGTCCCCTGATCAAGAGTATTTCTGGCATTCCCTATTGAAGGGTGGTCATGAGACTTACAGCCTCTTCTTTTTGGTTCTCTGCTTTTGTAGGCATATCAGACAATCCAGGAAGCACTAGTCCCCAGGTAAGAAAGAAGCTCTCTTCTCCATCTTGTTCTTTGAGATTTTCTAATCGGTGAATTTACATCCCAGTTGATCACATCACAATCTAGTAATTGATTTAAATAAAGGTAATTGTTAACATTCAATTTCCGCTTTGTTTTTTCTTTTCGGCAGGGCCTCTGGCAGGACGATATCGATCCGGATAACATGACCTACGAGGTTTGCTTTTATACCCCAATCACATTTAGTAATCATAATAATGGTACAAAATCTAAAGATGCATCGTAGTTGAACTATTAATAACTCTTAGCATGAAACATCCCCATTCTATTTGCTTGTTGAAGCTGATGTATAAGGTGTGTAGCAGGAACTGCTGGACCTAGGCGAGGCAGTTGGAACTGAAAGCAGAGGCCTTTCCCAGGAACTCATCAGCATGTTGCCAACATCAAAATGCAAGTTTGGGAGTTTCTTCTCGAGGAAAAAGTCCGGAGAGAGGTGAGTTTGTTGTCAAGTCTTCTTCTTCTTGTCCTCACTGGAATGTTCGGTCTCATTTCTTGCTGAGAGTTGATTATTTGGTTACCTCTACCAAGCTGTCACTAGAGAGTTTGATTATTTGTTTCGTTCTGTGCAGTTGTATTATTGTCTTTCTCAGAATCTTTTGTTTCAATGTGGATTGCCATAATCTTTTGGTGGTATTGATGCAGATGCGTGATATGCCAGATGAGATACAAACGAGGGGAGAAGCAGACAAAGCTGCCTTGCAAACACGTTTACCATTCTCAATGCATCACCAAATGGCTTGGAATCAACAAGGTCAAATCCCACATTCACTAAGTTGTCCCCGGCCTTTCTCATCGATTCTCTCCACCTCTCTCACATTCTGTAATATGATCTTGTAGGTCTGTCCCGTATGCAACAATGAAGTCTTTAGCGAAGAATGGCGGCACTAGAATATCAGCCTGATGGAGCTCAGGCTGCCTTGGTCTTTCATCAATCCTCTTTTTCTTAGGTTTTCTCCTTTTCTTTTTGTGGATGTATTGGTTTTGTTTTTCCACACGTAGAGTTCAGTGAAGAGAGAGTAGTAAAAGGCGATGTTCTCTTTCTTCCCCCTATATAGGAAGTTCTTTTTTGGGTAAAGGTAGTTGACTCCATTGTCAATCTGAGGTTGAGGAGTTATTAAGCCAGGTACGGAAGAGGCAGCAAAAAGCCAAACCGGGAAGAGTAGAAATATGGAGAATCAGAAAGAGCGGTCATTTGTGTACCGTCCCCCTGATCAAGTACGGATTTTGCAGGAGTATAATATATATATATTTAAAGCTTGTCATTCTGCTATCTTGTTGCTGTTGGAGCTGCTTGGTACTTCTTTCGGTGTTGTAAATGGAAAATGTAAGGGAGCTTCTTTTTCCTTCCTCCCCATCCTCCCCACTCTTCATTAGCAAATCGGTGAACCAGACTATGTTGCACTATGAAGCGTGCGTACAAATTCATAGGCAAGCAGCTGGCGTAGCCAAACGTTGAATAGACGGGAGTTCCACTAAAGTTTGTTTATCTAATGAACTTTCAGTTACATTGAATAGACGGGAGTTCCACTAAAGTTTGTGTATCTAATGAACTTTCAGTTTATTGGTGTTATTAGATGAGCTAACATTGCTAAGAGTATGGGGTCATAAATTCGAAAGATCATATTAAACCCTACGTATTTAAAGGGTTTTGTAGTCTTGTTATTTTCCTAGTGAGTTCCTAGGACCCCTCTCAAAATGTGGCTCCGCCACTGCCTGAAAGGATAGTGACTCCCTAAAACAACACTCCTGATACTGACCAAGTGCAAGACAATGTAGTTTAGTGGTACAAGTAATAAAATATCGAATCCATGAGGTTTCTAGATTTATTATTACTCAGCTTTGGTTTATTAGTTAGCAAAATCGATTTGGATAAACTAACTAAACTACTCTACAAATTAGGTTAAGGTTAGGCTACTAAGTACAGGTTGTGAAGTCACTCAGGTATTCGTTTCCCCTAGTCAGTAGCTGGATTAATGATTGATGACTCTCTAATTCATAATGCGGAGAGTTATTGACTAGACCTTGAATCTCGACTAAAGCAATCAAGGCCCTCTTGAGACGGTTGCTAAGAGGGACGTATCCTTCTCTAAAACAACCGATCAAAGCGTTCTATATTAGACTCCATCTATAGTGTGAGGTTCTCGCTCAAAATGTTGCAAAAAAATCCACTCACTCTCGTCTCGTTCTATCGATCCCTTACATCCAGTCTATGGTGCACTATTGACCTAATCAAGTATTCCCTCTTGAAAAATAACACATGCTTAGATTGAATATGAACTAGAGTTAGCAAGATAGAATGCTCATACAATCATCCAATCAAACAAAACATAACTAGGTTCCCTCAAACCTAGGTGAAGGAAAGTTACTCCACAAAGAAATCATCTGAAATAGCTCCAAGAATGCTCCTAAATCATGCTCTCTCTAGGGTTCGTCCCTTGGGTGTTTAGGATCCAAAAATCCAACTCCCTTGATGAAAGACCGGCATCTACAACTTATACCCGCAGGTGAAAAGCAACCCAAAATGCACGGTCGTTCTTTTGGTTGCTCCGTCCGTTCTTTTCCCAAACGCACCGTTTCCACTTGATTCTTAATGGGAAAGCATGGATGAGCCCTTGAAAAGCACATTTGTGTTTTTCGAAGCTCATGTCCATGCTTTTGGCCTGGATCTCCTATCTCGAATCACATAATGCACGTTTTGGCATTCTTGGAAGATTGGAAGAGCATGGTCATGCTTTTCACTCTGTTGGCACTCCTTAGTCCCAAATGACCTCCAAATGATCTTAAATTTATGGCTAACCTTTCCTTCATTTATTAGGGCCTAAAATAAGTGATGAACACAACCATTTGCTTGTGTCAATCAAGAGATGGGGTAAAACATGTATAAATGAGCTTGTATCAAACTCCCCAACATTTAACCATTTGCTTGTGTCGAGCAAACCATACTCAAACTAGTGCAACTCACCAGACCTCCATGACAACATGTGACTTTGCACCGTAGGTAGTGGGTAATTGCCAACTTACGAGGCCAACCCTCACACGTAGAGACTCGACCACGCCAGTGAGCTACAAATTTCGTACGAAAAAATTCACTTGCTTTCATCACTCACATACAGATACAATCAACTATGCACAATAGTATAAAAACACATGAGGTGATGCTTTTTGCAAACTTTAATTTGACTTTAAGCACAATCGTGCCTGACATAGTTTGCTAGTTGATCCCACAAAGCTCTTTGTTTAGAGTAGTACTAAGATACAAACATTGTACCTGGTTTAAGCTGGAAGATATATTCTTGAGGATTGGCCATGCGAAAAGAGTCGCCTTGAGAAAATTGTTCTCTCAATTCTGTCCAAGCACCGATTCCAGTGGAGATGCAGAGAGTGCTCTTAGAGATTGTAGGGTTAACATAATGCTAGATCCAGCTTAATAGAAATTTGTTATTGTTGCTCCATGGCTCAAAGATAGGAGAATCATATGATAGTTGATAGATTTTCCCACTCCGGAAACAAAGTTTGTTCTTGCCATCAATGACGAGCACCATGGAACACTCCTAGTTGACAAAGTTTCCTTCATTTAGGGGTTGAGAAACAAGGCATTGCCCCAATTTTCATAAGGATGAATGAAGACCAGACTCGAGGGATTCAAAATTGGAACATCATGGTAAAGAACCGCACCATTGGTGAATTGGTGACTTCCAGTGTTTGGGTGTCGGTGGCCTTTAGTGTGAGGACTTTTTTTATAAGGGTGATATAGATTTCATTTTGTGATTAAGGTAATAGTTAAGGGATTCGAACCTGTGACCTCCAAGTTCTAGGCTAGTGGTATTAAGACTAGGACTATCCCTTGTTCGTTCTTGAAAGAAGAAGAATGTACCGCCATAGGAGGACGGGAAAAAAGCTAAAAAAGATACGAAAAAGGAGAGATGAAAGCGAGAAGCGAGTAGAGGCTCAGAAGAGCTCTGATTAGGTTCAGGTCCTTAAGGCTCATAACTTAAGAATTATCTTAAGTGATTTCTATTGGCTGATAGAATTTAGGTAGTTAATAAGTCGTTAGTAGTTAATTGGTGGTTACGGGTAATTAATATATTAATTAATAAAAAATTAAAAGCCTGCCGAACTCATGCATGAATTACCTTCCCAGTTCCTAATTACCTTCCTAGTTCCTATGCAAATGGCACCCTTTTTAAAAGCTACCAAATTCGCACCGCAAGCTTTTTATCCCTTGGCGTTGGTTCTTCATTCGATTGCCTCTTCGACTATTTAATTATGGATAGACGTAAAAGTATGAATCATTAATAACTATTTTTTAAATTATTAATAATGTTATTTGAACCGTTAATAATGATGTTATATAATGTTAATAATTCATTTTTAAACGTTAATAATGAAATGTTTATGGTTAACAATTTATCTTATATCTTGAACGGCCTAATGTCATTTTTTAATACTGAGCCGATTATTGTTAATGTCTTTATTTTAGTTTTGACAAAGACAACAATATTTGAACATTTTTTATATCATTTAGCACTTAATATTGAATCCAAACATTATTAATGATTTTGTGTTGGTTCTCAATGAAATTCAATTTCTTTATCAATTGAGTGCATATTGTTATTAATGGGTTTCAATATCCAAATGTTGTATATTAACACTTAATATTGAATCATAATAAATATGTTGTAAATCAATGGTAATGTTATTCAACTCTTTACTAACGATATAACATAACTTTAATAGTACTTTAATAAGCGTTGATAATGAAAATATAATTCGTTAGCAATTGAACTAAATTCGTTAATAATATAACCGTAAAATATTGATAAGTATACTGAAAATGTTAATAATGATGGGGTATATCAATAATAATTTATTTTATAATCGTTGATAATGAAATTGAAAAACATTAATAATATCAATGACGGCATGTAGAGAGAGTGTGAACATTTTTAATTTCCTTTTTTAATACATAAAATATTAATTACGAATTTTGATTTTTAATTTGGACTTTCATTAACTGTTAAATACTAATATTTAATTAATATCTTTTATTGCCCTTTTAGGTGGTTAGACTTCACTTTCTCTCTCCTCTTCTTATTGGTCAATAATAACTTAAGAAACTTCTTAAGTTTTAGACTTAAGGACCGGATCCAACCCGGATTAGATGCTAAGACTGATTGATCAATAATTATTCTTGTGAATTATCATTTAGGAAGAAGAAGGGGAAACAATTCTGTAGATGTTTATATACAAAGTTCTTTTAAGTGAGGAGAGAGAATAAACGGGAATTTAACTAATGCTAATTGGTTTCTAACTAACTTAACCTAAATACTAAACACTACACTAACCAAAGCAGTTAAAATCGGAATCGTAAAATCGAATCATAGAATCGTAGGATTTTAAGTAACATATAGAAATTAACATATGATAATATTAATAAGGTAAATAATTAATAACACAAAGACTTATAACATTTAAAGTGATAATTTTTAAGATTAATGTTCCAAAATCATCATTTTAATTTTTATTTAATGTGTAAATCAAAATAATTTATGATGAAGGGATAGAGCTCATGGGGTTTGGCTCTTGTTTTTCATGTTGTGTCTAGATAGTTTAACTCAAAGTAGTATTCCGACATCGTCTACTAAGCATGATTTAAAACTAAGAATAACTGAAATCCAATAAAATAATTAATGTCATTGGTTTGGTACAAATATATTCATTAATAAAATAATTTTTTAATAATGATGTTAATTCTTACGCACTAACAATATCCTGACATTTGTTTTACCGATGAGTTAAACAAGGAGAAGGGAAAGGGGTTGACCGAACCCTAATTAGTTTTTTTTCTTCTTTTCAAATGTTCTTTTAATAGGAAAAATATATGAGAAGATCCCCGTCATTGCCCTTTCCACCGAAACAATTCTGCTTCTTTTGAATTGGCTCAAGCTTCCTATTTTGTTCACATAGGATCAAAATCCCAATTTTGGTACGATTTTACGATTTTAACCCCGATTTTGAACGATTTTAAGGTCCATCAATTTTAGAGTAAAATCAAGATCGGAATCCCTAAGTAAAATCCTATGATTTTACGATCAAAATCCCGATTTTGACTGCATTGACAGTAACTACATATTACAATCAGTCATATTCCTATACAAGCAACTATCTAATCTTTTACATTTATATACTTAGATCCAATACTCTAACAATGCAGTTTTTAGCGGAATGAGTTAGTTGAATCAATCATAAATTATCTTGCCGCTAAATTTTTCAGTACAACCTCCCGCAATAATTTCAGCATAAAATATTAGTGTTGTTAAAATCAACTCGAGCCAGTTGGTCGGACCGTTAAAACTAGGAGGCCGGCTCAAATCAGTTAAATAGCCGCTAGGGAATAACCCACTGGTCGACGAGCGGTCCAAATGGTAAACCGTTCAAGCCGCC